GGAATCACACTTGCACATTGCCACCAATGCAAACTCTGATTTGCTTCATGTTAAACATGAAGCCATTAACTGAAAACTAAGCTAGTTTAGGTGATGTCTTCACCCATAAAGCAACTCTAGTCTTGACCAACTCAATGACTTCAAGGCAAGGATTTGAGTTATTGAATTTACACTCATTTCTGAGCTTCCAAATAGACCACAACACTGCTAGAGGTATACTTAGCCATGTCACTTTCTCTGATTTCCTGACTTTGGCTCCATCCCACCAGAGAAGCAACCTTTCCATTGAATCCGGCAAAGCCCCAAAAAACCCCCACCACTTTAACATAGGGGCCCAGATATGCTAAGAAAAAGGACACAGAAAAAGGACATAGTGAGCAGACTCAGGCTCAGCTTTGCAAAGAATGCATTTAATATTAGAATTGCTACTCAAAATCCCAATTTCCGGCGGAAACTTAGCAAATTTGATTCTATTCACTACTAGAAAATTGACCTTTTGCGTCTAATTTTTTGCGACTGACTATTTAACCGTCGCAAAAAAAAGAAAATATTTACAACCGTCAAAAAAAATAGACGCAAAAAAATAAATGAATGAAAATAGTCCAAAACTACCTGATTTTACTTTGGTCAATTTATTATTCCTATTTCTTTTATTTATTTTATATACCAATGCCCTAGCCCCTTTCACTCTCACGACATTCACAAACTGTCTCTCTCGCTCTCTTACTCGCCATAGTCGTAGCTCCAGTGGTATGAATCTCTGTCTCTCGGTCTCTCACTTTCTTTATCATGCTCTGTTTCTTTGATCTTCAATTTCATTTTCCGACTCAAAATTTGATTTTCTAAGTTGAATTTTCTCGAGAAAGATGCAGCCTCTACGAGATTTGATCGACGATGAAACATAAATTGTTGAGTGAAATTAGGTTAATTGTTTGATCGGGAAAAGAGAAAAAAACAAAGAGATGAGAAGCACGAACAACATCGCTCTAGATACGATAAGTGCTGCTGTGACTGCGATTGCGTCAGCTGGGACTCAAGCTTCAGTTCAGGTAAACAATTTGATTCTAATTTTAACTATAATTTACGTTGCTTGTTGTGGTTGATGATTTGATTATCTCAATTAGATACATGAATCTCTCGAGTTTCGATTTCTAATTCTAAGCTTTGTATAATCTGAACATTTAGGTTCAAGGTCTGTTGATTATATATATGTTACGTTGATCATTTCACTTTGTTTGATGTAGTTTTTGGAAATTATATTTGTTTAATGCTTTTTAATTGTGTTGTTGTTGTTGTTGTTGCAAGTCATCCTCATCATCTTGAAATCGAGAAGGCAAAGAAGCTGCTGAAAGTAAGAACTGAGATGTATCCTACAATATATATATATATATATATCACTTTGTTAACGTTATTGTTTGGCACTAAGTGCTTGACTGAACAAGCACTAATTAGCAATACAAATGGTAAATTATTATTTATGATAGCCTTTGAGATATTTGGTTATGATAAATTTTATTTTTGTCTGTTTTGGAGGAAATAACCATTGGCATTGACAACCTGAAACTCATCTTGTCATAATAGCTTGTGGCTTTGCTTTGGAGGTAATTTATACTGTTGTTATCTCTTTTGATAATGTTAATGTTGGCCTAAATTAAAAGTTAATGTAATCTCTTAAGCTCCGTCATCGTTACTCCCGAAAAGAAGCACTCTTCGATTGCCAGAGTTTCAAGTGCATACTCAAACTCGTGTACTGCTTGTGCATCTGTGCATGTGCAAATATCATTGTTTTAAGTCTAAGTTTGGGCCATATCTTGTGCAAATAAAATCTCTTGCTACTTTGTATGGCTAAAATATTCCTTCATCATGTTCTTTCTTAGGAATTTCACCTGAAGATGGTGGAGAGGGCTATGCAACATACATCTGCAGTTTCATCATCTTCAGTTTCATGCAGTGATACTAATAAAGTTTGTGATTGAATTTACCCACCAAAAAAAAAAATTTGTTATTGAATTTAATGGATACTTAAGTATACTCTGACACAATTAATATATTGTGTCCCTGATTGCGACTCTTGTGCCTAAGAAGGGCACAGCCCAGTTCCAATTTATATATGTATGTTTATGTTTATTTTAAAATGTTGTTAAATAAAAAATTGAGTTAAAAATTGAAAACTAGATTAAAGTAGTTTGATGACTAATTTTTATAATAATTAAGGTAATTAAATTAATTTAATTATATATATAATATGTACCTTCTTAGAAGTGTCAATACTTTTCTAATATGTACCTTTGGGATGGGTGAATTATCCTAGTTTGACTGGATGTAGGCTTAATGTTATTTGGTTGCTGATATATGCTTGTTTAGATTATGGTAACCTTTCTTAGGTAATTGATTTCAGGTGAAGCTCAAAGCTACAAAACAAAAATTTGGACGAGAAATCTGTGTGTTTGAAACCCCAAATGCTTCTCCAACACCCAGCAATGTATCTAGCAGTGGTATGACCACTAAACCATTTATGCCATTATTGTTCATCATTACCTATGGAGTACTCTAATAATGTGGAATATGTATTGGAGTACCCTCTTCAAATGCATGATTCACTTTGGTTGGCAGAGGAACCAGATGACTTCTATGAGTTAGTTTTGTGAGGAAGATGATAAATGTGTATAAGTACCATTTATGTAAGAGCTGAAAACTTTGTCCTATTTATACCAATTCAAATGCATATCGGAACCTTTATGGAAATCGAGGGATGAGACTTAGCATATCAATTCACTTATAATGGGGTCATTAAATGTAACTGCAAATTGGTATAAGCGTTGGTGGTTGTACTATGTAGGATCTCTATATATCTATATTCCCACATATGTAATTCAAAGGTTTAGATTATCTTGATTTCAATCTCTGCTATCACTGCTTGAGTGTCTCTATCTCTCACGCTTTTATTTATTTATTTATATTTTACTTTTCTTGCTCTATGTTTTAATTTAAATGATCACTGTTCCCTTTGAGTTGTCTAATTGTACAGGGTAGCTGTCATAACTCTGTAGTTCCATCTAGTGCATCTCTGTCAGCGAGACATGGGTCGTCTTCTACAAATACCGCATTGCTCCCTTCGCTGAGGTCTTCCAATAATGATTCATCAAAAAGAGACATAGGCATGTCATCAGAACATTGTGCTGAGGAATCCAATTCAAGATGTGAACTTGTGAAAACTGTGCTCAGCCTTCTGACAAAAAAACACTGAAGGTTCAAATCAAAGTCGGTTCTGATAATTTGTCGACGCAAAAAAATGCTGAAATCCACACTGGTTTTGGCCTTGATACCTCGCCCTCTTCCTCATTGAATAAAAGCCCCACCGACAGTGAAGGGTTTTCACACGAACCTTTGGATGCCCCAGAAGAATCCCCAACTAGTATTCTTCGGGTAAGTCATGTCCCTGTATCAGTTTAGTATAGTATTCCAGTTTCTTTTTGCCTGAATTGACTTGAAAATTATCAGATTATCTTACTTGTTTTGGCTTATATATTGGAGCAGATTATGACATCATTTCCAGTGCATGGCAATCTATTGTTATACCCTCTTCCGAATGATCTGATTTACATGACTGAAAAGGAAAAACTTAAAAGAGAAATTAAACCTATACGTGTAATCAAGAGTAGCCAAGAAAGTTCAAATGGATCTGATTCTACTAGGGGCAATGACAAAGTTTTAGGAGGCAAGAAACTTAAGTCATTTGAGAGAAATGCCTTTTCAATGGAATTCAAATTGATAAGGGCACTCAAAACGGCATTGGTGTTCCGTTGAAGAAAGAAATAGGCATTGACACTCTGGCTTGTGAAGAACTTGTTGCTAATACTCTGAAGCTTTCACTTCTATCGAATTCATATTCTAGTGTTGCCAACCATGACAAGGGTATTGTAAGAGCGGCTAATAACTCTATGGTAGCTAATAAGGTGAAGAAATGATCTTTTTCTAATCTAGCTAAAGTGGAAACCTTTGAGGGATTACCGAACCAAGAGATTGGCTTAGTTGAGAAGCCTAATAGAAAGGCGGTGTCCGATGTTAAGGTTTGGGAAGAGAAGAAAGCGAATTTTCGCAATGACATTTCAGCCTATCCAAGGAAGGATGGTAATTTCAAAGTAGAAAAAGTTGATGGTTTTGCCAAAGATGACTCAAATGTCTCTAAGGCGAAAAAAGCTCAAAGTGCTGAACCAATTGATCTTTTGGAGCAGAAGGCTTGTAAGAAAGCTACATCTCATAATGAGGATAACAAACAACTTGGTTACCAGGAAGGAGCATTCATCCTTGGGGGGCAAAAAGAAATCGAAAGGAAGTCACAGTGCAGAGGTTCCAAAAGACAGCTCATGGATGGATTCTTATTTGGGGCCCAAAAATAAGAAGAGCACATATGCCAATAATTATCTGTCTAACGATGAAATGGAGGATTCCAAATTGCAGAAGTATCTATTCATCTTTGTGGACAAAATCTTTGTGAAATCTTATCCCACAACCTTGTTGGTTATACCATATATCAGCAAAAATAAAGGATATTATGATATTATTTTTTACATCTTATGTGAACTATATATTTTGCTCTTTTGCTATATAGAAATACGAAATAAATAATGTATATAAAGCCGTATTGTGTATATATGTTCCTAAGCATACATATCCATGTATGAGATTGTTACTGTTGGATACTTCTGCTCTTTTAATTGCATCAACTAGAATAATGAGCAGATAAATTCTTGAAGACAAGAAAAGTTCGAGAAGCTGATGAAGCTGCCCGCAGATCAAGGATGACAAAGGTTTGTGTTAGATCATTTGTGATATATATCTATTTAAAACTAGTTTAGACTTCCTTTTTTTCTTCGTTTTTTGCGACGACAACATAGCGGTCACCATAAGTAGTTTAGGCGGTCGCGAATAATTTGCGACCGTTGGTTTGCCGTCGCAAAAAGTATTTGTCACCTCCACATTCGCGACCCACATTTGCCGTCGCATGAGCCGTTGTAAAAGGTTTTTTGGGACTGTATTTTTATTATTTGCGACGGCTTGTAGCGGTTGCAAAAAGTGTTTTTTTTAGTCGTGTATGCATATCAGATTTTTGTCTGGACAAAATTCATTCTCAATAATATGAGCAGCAAATTACTAACTTTTTAAATCTATATATTGCCATGAGACCTCCCAGATTTATTTATTTTTATCAGTAGAATTTTTTTTTATTGATGAAACTTAAAATACAAGCTAAAAGAAACATATCAATAAAGGAGGTGAGTACAAAGAGTATCATAGTTAGACTAAACGATCCCAATCAAGTTGGTACTGCGAAGTAAGTCCAATCATATACTAGCACACTACCCAAATTTTTCAAAATAGAGCTGATGGAGAGCTCTAGTAAAACTACTCTAAAAGGAGCTCTAGTCAGCTGTCAATGCACTAAAAAAAATATAAAAAATAAAAATAAAAATAAAAAGACAAATTAAAGCTATTTTAGAATTCTTCTTTTAAAACTCTAAAACATTTTTCTTTTCAAAAACACAAATTTAAACACCGATCACCATGCATGTTGTATGATTATTAATTTTCCTTGTTTTTTCTGCACATTCCTTGAATCACTCCACCTGATGATACAAAAGATTATTGTCTTCTATTTTTGATGAGTATGAATGTCAATGAGTTGCACTTCTTATGTAAAACATAATATTTGTAATAATTCAGTATTATAATTGTTTCTTCATTAGCTCACTATTTTTACAATGAATAAATGAATGGAATTGATTTACAGTTGATGGACAAAACTACAAATAACTAAAGTTATAGTGTTACATATTTTACAATTGAATTTAATTTGAAGGAATTAGAAAAGTTTGCTTGCAAACTCTTGTATGGCCTCTCCTTTTATTGAAGAAGAAGCTGCAAGATCTTTCAGTTCTGATAGGCTCCTTCCAAGCTGCAAAGCCACCTTCATTTCAAACATCTCCCCATTCTCTCTCCTCTCCACTTCTTCCTCCTCCAAATTTGATTCAATAGACTCTTCCATGAGCCTAAAAAAACCGGCATTGCTCCGGTACATCTCAAACACCATTCCAACTTGCCCGCCATGCTCGAGTGCGTTCACAACGCTTGAAAAAGCTCCACCAACAACTCCAAGCACCACAGCCCATGAGCCATGGCTAGGGCTTCCTATGAAAGCGGAGCCAATGGCTGCTAGGCCGGTTAGTAAAGGTCCTGAAATGGCTAACACCTTGTTCAATTTCAAGGCCTTTTCACCTAACCTCGAGTAGTCTTCTTCGTCTTTCCTCTTCAAAACCCTAACTATCTCTCTCATTTCCTCTTCCAACTTATCGTCCCAACCGTTCCTATTATTCTTTCTCCCATCGTATCCTTTCGCTTGTCTCTTCTCCCGATGCAGAGACCACCAGACGGCAGGCTCTGCAGTTTTAGGGAATTTTTCAAGCATCGCGCCTAGTAAGGGAAGCGGGTAGGCCTTGTCAAGGGCCAAAACCTTTTCCATTGCATCTTTCACATCATTCATGGTTGGATTCCCAATGCACACCGTCGTGTGAATTTCTTCGCGGAGTTGGTGAAACAACCTAGAAGCATTTCGTTGCTCTTCAGTGAGTTGAGATGGTTGAATCTTATTCATGATCAATGACAACCCCGTAGCTGCCAAATATAACAAAGTGGAAGAGAGCTTGAGGGACACAAGGGCGGCACCGCCAACTACACCGGTGGCTGCAATGCCCGCCATTGTGGCGGCTGTTAGAGTGATTGCATTAATGGAGGTTAAAAGTAGGCTATTCCAATTATTTCTCTGCTCTCCAATATTCTTATGCATCTCCACTCTATCCGCGATAGCCTCCATGATCGCGTAAAGCTTCGCTATCACCGTAGGATCAGAAACCCTAGTATCATATTTAGGAGAAGAGTTAGTGTTTGAGTTTGTGTAACCACTTCTCATTTCTAACTCTTCTACCAAACCTCTAGTTTTTGTGAGCTTTGGAAGAGAGAGTAGACCTCCATGCCGGAGCTTTGGCATATGGATGGCAGCTCTGATAATCTCTCTCCGACAACATGAAGACGATGAAGTTGATGATGAGCACATCAAGCTTGAAGCTTTAAGGCTGGCCATGATTTATTGGTTTTGGATTAGAAGATTTGTTTGTGTGAGAGGTTGTTTTAAATCTGGGTGTTGAGTATTGAATGGTTTAGGCTTGGAAGATTGTATATATTTAAAACTTGGTTGTGATATATCTCTTTTGGGTTATTGAGATTGAGGTTTGATTGAAGAGTGCAGTGAATTGGAATATAGAGATATATGTTGCTTGGTATATATAGACACAGAGAGAAAGAGGCTGGGGTTGACATGCAAAGGAGAAAGTGAAGAGTTTCAAATGTTCAAAGCCTTTGAAATTGAATGGGTATTCCATAATTTACGTGGACTATTACTTAGTCTTTGTTTTGTTTTGTTCATTTATTATTATTTTTTTTTATGCCATCTCTCACCATTGAGGAACTGGTTCATTAAATAATGAATAGAAACGGTCCAACTCAACCGTTTTTTGTTTTGGCATTGATTGCCAAAACAGAACTTATTATATTATGAAAAAGACGTGTTGGTGTAGATTGAAAACTATATTTGGAATAATTTTCTCCATACATTTTAAGAGTAATGTCATATAAATAAACTAAAAATTAGAAAATAACACGTAAATTTATTTTTTAGATTTAATGATGTGTTAAAAAAATAATTGATTAATAATTAGAGAATATTTAATTATCAATCAATTATCTTTTTCACACATCACTAGATCTAAAAAGTTGGTCTAACTTTTGGGACTGAATAGCAATGTTCAAAAAAAATTATGCATAATTTTCAGACATAATGATATGGTTCATTGTGAACCTTTCACTTTAAAACAAAACAACATTAACGATAGATTTATTTACAATAACAGTATTCTTGTCAAATTTTTTGTATGAATGTATATCTAGAATTTTTCATATTTTAATTTGGGCAAATTATACTCTTGGGTTTTGCATTTTGCTCATTCTATAACTTTTTTTATCAACAAAAGAGAATTTTATTGATGAAATTCTGAATACAAACAAAGAGATATACATCAATAAAAGATGTGAGAGTATCATGACAAGACAACACGATCGTAACTAGCACTATAAAACTAAACCAATCATGTGCTAGCACACCATCAAAATGGTGAGAAGCCAACCAACTAGGGCCGGTCTTGGGCTCCAAATTTTGTTTAAAAATTAGACCTCCCAAATATTTCAAGGCTTAGGTAATGTTTGGTTCATTATAATGAAAATGAAATGGAATGATCATTCCATTCTTAATGTCCATTATCATGTTTGGTTTACATAAAAAAAATAATGAAAAATACATTGCAAATGGAATTATTATTTACCATTGTAAGTAAATGGTCATTTCATACAGAAACTAAGGAATGAGCATTTCATTCAATTTCACTTTCATTCTAATGAATCAAACATAACATTATTGTATCAATAATTTTAAAAAATGGAGTTTTATCGAAAGAATTAAAAAACAACTGAAGTGTTGAATAATTTAAAAGTAATAAGTGATTGTTGATCAAATGTATTGATGGTTTACATAAATATTGTTGACTTTATCAACTACAATTGCCTATGAAAAATAAAAATTTTAAAATTAAAATTAATCAAATCTTATATTCAGTCAACCATATAATAAGAAATATTGAATGAATTAGCTATCATAATAAAAATTTAATAAATTAATTATGTCATCTATTAAAAAATATGTAGTACATAAGTTAGATTATACAAACTCAATTAATAATTTTACATTTAAAAATACAAGAAGAGTAATGTTCAAGTTATATTTTAATTTAATTTTTATTACGTATTATAATTTTAAATTCTTCTTGACGTTTTCTTTTCTTGAAATTTTGAACACAAGAAAAGACCCTGTTTCTAAAGTTCACCTGGGGCTAACAAAACTCAGGATGGACTTGCAACCAACAACAAACGATCAAGCAAAAACCAATAAATAACAAATAAAAACAAGAAGCACAAACCCAATTAATCAGCTGCTCTCACTTGCAGCAGGCAACCCCCTGCTTGATTATCTATTATTTGGTCTCTATTTTGATATTTACATTTTTAATTGGCTTAAATTTAATCATTAATTTTAAATGTTGGGTCAATTTGATCTAATTGATAATGCTAATAATATTTTTGATAAAAAAATTATTACTGAATTAGTTGAGATTAAATAACTAAGTTGAATAAATTCATAATTTTACTCTTAAAAATATGGCACATGCCACTTATATGAGTATTTTTCATGAAAATTATTAAGAGTTGTAATCAAACAAAATAAATAGATTCATACTGAACAATCACTTTGAATCTCAGAATAAAAACATGCTGGAATTTACAAAAATTCATAATAAAATAAAACTAGTAAAAGGAAGCAAAGCGAAACTTGTGTGATATAGTTTCCTTAAAACAAATTCACCACCTCCCGATGGCTGCTAAATGTAAGTCGACATCTATCTCCCAATATACGATGGTTGAAACCAGCTAATGCAGAAGCACCTTCTGAATAGCTTCGGCGAATTTGATAATGGTTCTATTCTCTCTAACAAGAACCAAAAAAGGGACTAACAAAAGAAGATAAGAAAAAAAAAATTGATGTAAAAAAATCATCTCCAACTTTTTTTATCTCAAAACAACGTTTTCATTTTTCATCAAAAATCTCTTTAAAACTCTTCTTCTAAATTAGAAAGGAAAGACCATTTTTATACTTGTAGGGAAGAGGTCTTAGCCATGAAGGCTACCATAAAACCTAGCCTCAATGGCCTTCAACTCTAGCCTTTAGGGCTAAAGTTACAAAGGTGCAAAACTCCCATGTGTATAATGATCATCAACTCTATCATCAAAAGATGAGAGTTACAAAGGTTGAATAAATAAATAAATAATATATATATATTATGATGTTTAAATAATCCAACTAAATGGGTCGCAAAATGGATACGGGTATTAGGTCATAACCCAATCCACACCCAGTCTAAAACATATACACAAGACAAGCCTAGTCCAGCATAGCACACAGCCCATGCCCAAAACTAAGTCCAACACATACACATACACATACACATACACAAGCCTAGACCAGTCCAGACCAAGACTAAAACTAAGTCCAAGTCTAGGCCCAAGCCCAACTTCTATTGATGACCACTTTATGAGACAATTCTCATTCACAACTCAATGGTTTTAGCCCATCATTTTTATATTGTAATCTTCTCATTTGAGAGAATACAAAATCACTCCGACCTACCTCAATCGGCAGTTGGGTCCCACTTTAACTTCAAATTGAAGTTGCCAAAAATCATTATTTTTCAACAATCCCCCACATGAATAAAATTGGTTGAATAAAGAAAAATGGACAACGCCACAAAGACACGGAGAGAGAGCACACAGAATAACCCTGCATCAGAAAAAGGTAGTTGTTGGCCTTGAACCTTTCATAGTGAAAGCCTGTCAAATTTACTAACTTACCAGTGAATGTGATGTCTTGAACTGTTCTGCCGTTTGTGTAAATCGAGACAATAGACCTCACACAGAAGTTACTCCAACCATTGTTCTTGTTCTCACTGTTGTGTCTGATTTGACCTTGGAACACCAGCCTGGTTTAGTGAGTATTTTTAAAGAATTCGGCCTTATCAATTCTTAAAGAAGTGGCACCATTTCGCACTCACATAGGTGACCTACATAAGGTATCTCGCTATATCACGGTTGACTATTCACAACACTTAAGTCATTAAAAGCTTCGGCTTAACCTTCCACCCCATAGGGTATTATTGCATAAAGGAATGGGCAGAAGGATTTACCTCCACAGTGACTCATCCGTCACACACAATTAGGTTGTCCCTTTGAACCTAGATCTTGGAATTTCCAATCAACTAGATTGGTTTTTCCATTCCAGTAACATTCGTTAAAGGCCTTAACCTCATTTCTCTTGACGACTTCTTGCTAACTCTCGGTTTAACACTTAGGTAAACGGATGTATATAGTCTATAGTGACAACACACGAGAGTAGTTGTCGTATGAAACTATGTCTTTGATAAAAATGTCTAGACCTTCCATCTGTGCCCTACCAATACTTGATTGGTTATCCCAAAGTATACAAAATTGCTAGCACAAGTTTTGATATATATGGAATACCCTCAATAAAACGGAAAAGCCATTAAGTTATTTTAGTAGCTTTATCGAAAGCACTGAATTTTGATGCCATCATTGATCTCGTGATACACATTTGCTTAGAAGATTTCCAAGATACGGTTGCAGCTTCAATCAAAGAAAGCATATCCACTAATGGATTCGTAAACTTTGTATTAGATATCCTGTAGGCGCCTTTGTACACTTCTAGTACAACTAGATATTAAGTGTTATGCAACTCATTATCCCGGGTGTAGTGTAAATAACTTAGTACCTACACAAATGCCCTCTAAAGATAGGCATTGGGATTACTCATGTATCTACTAAGCCTGCTAACTGAGTAGGCTATACCTGGCCTTATACAACTCATCAAATACTTTTAAACTTCCAATGACCCGAGAATATGCTAGTTGAAATGCACTTGCTATCGATGTCCTTGACACACTTGTATCTGATTTGTACTTATCAAGACTCTTATCAAAATAATAAGACTAAAAAAGTACACTATTAGCAGATGGTTAGGAAATCTTAATTCTCAGATAGACATCTACAAGGCCCATGTCAAACTTCGAGTTCAACATCCACTTGGTAGTATTGAACATCTTCTTATAACTACTAACAATGAGCATGTCACATACACATAGACACAAAATGACATATACATTTGTCAATGTCTTTGACATCCACACATTTGTCAATATATGTTTATTTAAAACCCACTTGACAACATAGTGTAGTCCAATTTCTCATACCATTGTTCCGGTGCTTGTTTCAAATCATATAATGATTTCTCAAACTTATAGACTTTTCTCGTCCTATAACCGACAAACACTTCGGGTTGTTCCATAAAGATTTATTCAACTAAATCTTCATATAGGAAAGCTATCTAAACATCCATCTCGATGTATTTCCAAATGTCGCACAATTGCGATCACACTCACTATAACTGGTGTTCATGTATCAAAGTAATCCAGGCCTTCTTTTTGCCTGTATCCTTTGATGACAAGTCTATCTCATCGGCTTTCATTCACTTGCATCACAAGGCTTATTACATATGCAAGATAAAGCTAAATTAATAACTTCTTTATAGAGAAATCACAGCTTCAAAGAAACTTATAGCCTCACTAGCCACCATATAGGTAAGAAGATTTAGATAGAAGAACTTTAAAGTCTTAGCATGTTAACATCTTCTAGGCTCATCTTTTTTCTCATGAAAACCATTTC